ACAGTGTAATCCACGCAAGGTCAGGGAGGACTACTACTTCAGCTCCAGTTTGGATTAACAAAATAAAGTTATAAGGCTCTAAAAGCTCTCAAATCCTACCTATAGGGATCTCACATTTATTTGGAGGCCCTGGCAGTACTGTGCATATTGAGAGCTGTTCTGTCAAGTCTGTTGCTCTTTCCAATTCATTTCCACAGAGGTGCCAGTTCACAAGTGACAAACCATACATGCTTTGGTACTCATCTGTCTTTGGTCTTAATCTTTAAAGCAAATCAAATACAGTAACCCTTCAGCTCGAAAGCAGTCTCATTTAATCCCAAAGGTTTCCCTACAGACAAGAATATTCTTTTTAATTTTCTAGTGGCTTCAGAACATTAAAGAAAATAACCCACATGCACACCTTTCAGGCAGCAGTGTCAGCCACTGAGGCAGCATTTCATGCATGGCTTTAAGGCTCAGATTTCACACTCCCTATAGGGAGAGTTAGTGAGCTATCATGTACATGATGTGTAGCTTGAAGCTGGTTATTTTGTTCTTAATGCATTCTTGACTAAAATCAGCACATCTCCCAAGAGTGAATAAAGCTAAGCCAATATGCTTAAAGTTTTACTCTCAGTATGTATTACAAGGCCTTAGAAAAGGTAAGCTTTAGAACCCAAGCCAATTTCAATTTGACAAAGACCACCTGTCTCAGATAATTCAGGTCCCTTCAGGTTCAGGGAAATCAGCAGGAAGGTAAATATCTAATTCTCTGCTCAGCCTCCTTCCTCAGACACTAGGCTGACAACTTGAGGCTTAGACTTGGGTAGTTCCAGCTCTCAGAGGATTTCCATGGACAACCCCTTTGGAACATAGAACATTTATTTAAGCTGGAAGGCAAACCAGTTAGAACCATCAGGAAAGAGGGCTCACCAACTCTGTATCTGTGTAAAGATCTGTATAAAGAGCTCACAATTTCATTTTCTCTTATCAATGACAGACAAACAGACCTTTTTATTACAAACTCTGGATTTGCTGCACATGGCACACTGAGCTGCACAGGGCAAAAGTGTTTACATTTTGATGCATTCATAAATCTGAATTAATCTGAATTAATTTTTAAAAACTGAATAAATAAAGTACAGGGTTCACACAGAAGAACAAAAGAACACACAAGGTTGAGGACCAGCTGAAATGCACATTACATCCTTGAAAATGTCTTTCAATGGTTTACCATAAAAATATTTAAGTAAAAATTGAATAGTAACTACAGATTATTGCTGTTTGAGTCCACAGTATGCAACATATTCATTTCACTCTTAAGTTAAATCTTTGTGCCCACATTTGCAATAAAAATCTACTTAGGCACACAGGAAATCTGTTTTACCAGGTAGAATTCAAAGAGTACATACCAAACTTGAAAAATCAGGAAATTTCCACCACTGAACTTGGCACAACATGAAATTTACAAAGTCAAAATTTTAATTGCTAGGAGTGTGAGCACACCTACGTTATTCCAGCTCACACAAAATCATTTATTTTTGAAGGAGCAGCTTCACCCTCAGCTAATTCTCTGTTTAGCAAACAAGGTAGTGTATTGAAACCAGCACAATTATACCCATCAACACTTCCTCAAGATTTATATGCACATTTATATCAAGACTAATACAGCCCTTAAATTTTCATGACTAGCTGCTTGTGATGAGGACCTATTTTCTCTCTAGCTACACCACAATTCATGGGCTGCCATCTGGTCCTGTTAAAGCAGCCTTGCAGAGACAGAAATAAAACAAACTTTCATAGTTCATCTGCACAGCAAGAATAAAAGTAAAAACTGCTTATTCTACTCCTGAAGCTATTTTTAAAACTACTTATCCCAACACGCACATTACTTATCATTTGTATGATACCAAACAGGCTTTATGCTGAAATGAGATTTTACTCTGTATTAGGTGATTGCATCTTGTGCAGAATGCTTGCTGTCTACCAAAAATTGCTTGCTATTCTGCTTTGAATACCTGACTCAGTAACTGACATCAGGAGCATCAGTTTGACATGAATATGTAGATATGTGAAAATCTGTGTTCAAAACAAAACAGACTATGATGAAAAGTCAAGTTTGACAGCTGGAAAGAAGCCTTAAGGCTCCTCTTCAAATCAAGTTTGAGTTTTATTCAAAGGTCAGTGTCACTGTGACCTATTTCAGTTTTCTTCACTAGAAGGATTCAAGAATGCTTTGAAATACAATTGGTCTAGGCATTTGGAGAAAACTTAAAAGTTGGTAAAAATTTATCACTGCACAATGCCTACTCAACGTGTCAATTCTTGTGATTTAAGGGGCTTCTCTATATTATACATTTTTTCATCAAAATCAGCAGCAGTTTCACTTTTAGAATGTTGCAAAAACCACTCTATCAAAGTGGTCAATCTATTGAATACTGCCTCAAATATAATATACATCTTTTTCATCTAGCATTATTTCAAGTAACTTGATTTCTTTTGTTTCAGATAAGTCAGTGATTTTTGTAGTCCTGGTGAATACCAGCCAATGGTAATTAAAGCACTCCCATGAGAGAGATCAAAATGATATCTCCTGGTGATTTTTTCTTCCAGGAGACTTCCTCCAGCATCCTCTAAAGATGACATATACTGTTTGTTCAAGTCTGACGTGACTAGTGCATCAACCAGCATTGCAGATAAGATCCATAACTACCATCTAAAGATACTAAATAAGATAGTTCTTAAAAATGAGATCTGAAGGTATAGAAGACAGTTTTACTCAAATTTCTGTCAGTTTAAGAACTACACAAACTGACTATGTGAAGCTCATTCCTATTTCATGTTTCAGGTTATTGCAGCTTCCAATTTAGATCTCGAGGCTCTGCCTGGTTATAGTTGAATCCTCTAACTCTTTTTACTGGAGTTACTAACTGCATTAAAAACACACTAGAGTCATTGCTTTGCTTGAAATATTTTGCATTAAAGACCAGAAAAGATACAGCAAGCATGCATGAAGTGTCCAACTTCCCCAAACAAAAAAGTTTTGACTGGAGTTTTGACTCTATTTGCCATTATATGCCATGAGTCTATAGCAGCTTTAACTGGCTTTCATAGCTTAGAAAGAGCTGGAATGTCAATGACTTACTTCTTTCTCATGAAACCCTGCCCAGCTTCCATTTTTACTTAGGGGAAGCTAATGACATTTCTCTTTTAAAAATCCTTGTATTGAGTAACTATCTTTTATGAAGTAGCAGCTCAGAGGGGTTTTTTTAGCTTTCCTCAAATGATCTATGAAAACTGTAGTTCTGTGCAATCTGGAAAATATTTTCTTAAATCAAATACTAACTCACATTCTTTTTGTAGAAAAAAAAAAGTATTCATTATATCTTCTGGACCTAATAAAAGCAGGACAGATATTTTGTGACATTTTGATGTCCCAGGAATTGCTGAATACCCTTCTTTTACTGATTTAAGCCTTTTGCACATTCTGAAAAGCCAAAGACTGGCTTATAGTTTATGAATCTTGAGATACCAGAAAGGAATTGAATGAATAAGTCTTAACTACCAAAACATGATGTGCTAGCACCAAGGAGAGTTAATCCCAACCAAGACTAATCTTCTAAAACAGATGACCTGAGCCAGCTTTAACTTTAGCTGGGCATGTATATTGTAGTTTCAGCTGAATTATTACTTCATAGTTTCTCCCTTTACCCAAGGCACTAAATGGGTCACATTTTGTGTCCCTCTCAAAAAGAAAAAAAAATAATGCTGAAACAGCAATAAAATAGCAGGCTTATGTTAAAAAAATATTTTTAAAAGCATGATGCTTGAACAGTGTCTCCTCTCTTTGTCCAACTTGTGCTTTGCCACAGGGGCCACTATGGCTTGCTGCTGCAGGTACAAATCCTTCAGTTCTTGCCACCAGTCCCAGGCATCGCCCCATGCACTGCCCAGCTGTGAAAACCAGCTCCTTCTGCCAGACAACAATCATTTCCCCTACTCTTAGCAGTGAGAACAAAATACAGCCCACGAGAGATCCGAGAACTGAAATCTGTCCCATACAGCTGACAAAATTGGACCACCCAACAGGTGGGAATGAACACATTCCTTATCTAAGTGCTGGATCTCTCTGCTTTAGATAACATAAGTTGGGGATTGTTGGGGATGTTGTTTCTTCACTGTCTTGCAAGAAGCCTAGTTACTGCGTGTGCATCAAAGTTCTCTCTCTGCCAGCAGCTGAAGAAGTGTGGGTGCCAGCGTGTGAATACCAAATAATAATGGAATCCCCAGGAGACATCTGATTCAATTTCCTCTGCAGTACAAGACAAACATGAAAATTCATTGTCTTGATTAGCTTTAGTGCAGGGAAACAGCTTTCACAGCTGATTGTAAATCTTCTGAATGATCTCATTTAGCTTTTAACCTTCCTCTCCTTTTCATCCCTACACAGATTATTCCAGCCCAGACATTCATTTATTTGAATAGCTAAGACATGCATATGTTGTCTCCAGTCAGAACGAGAAGCCTCTGAAGTGCACAAATAATACTAAGACCATTATAAACATCTTTCAGAGTTTCTTGGTACAAATGTACAGTTCAGATCTTATTCCTAGAAATAAAAAAAACAAGGAGCATCACCATCACAGGTAAAATACATTTACCTTCCTCAAAACTGCTAGTGTTGAAACTGGGGAACGGACAAGCAGTTTAAAAATTGCCAACTGTCTTCCTGTGCTTTAAATCACCTTTTCAAGGACCTCCAGAATGACATGAAAGCCAGTAATGTGTGATAGCACAATGTCAGTAGGGGTCACAGAAACAGGGGAAGAGTGTTGTGATCTAATGAGCTGCTGGCAGCATACTCACATATCTGCCTTATTCTTACAGCCACTGCATCTGGATTATCTATGTCAAATCTTCTGCTCTTCCATGGCTTCATCTGTGATGTTTCTGTCTCAGCTACCAAAAGAATTCTGCAAATGTCAAGAACTGTTATGACCAAGAGAGAAATCACTCTCCAACATGTTTTTCCAGAATTTTATTAATGCAAATGATGATGGAAATTACTTATCTGCTTTCAAAAAGCATATGGGAGATTAAATCACAAACAGAGCATCATATCTCAATCTGGTTTCTATCAGTATTCATCCTCATAGGTCAGAAAATCTAAAATCAAAGCTGTTGCACATTTCACAATGCAAAATATAAAGAATCAAAATCCCACAATACATCATTCTATCTCAGACACTCTTTGGCCTTAATAACATTTTAGAAACTTTATTTAGCTATAAATTTTATGGAATCTTCACAAAATAATCAAATCACATTGTCTTCTCAACTGTGCAAAATGTCCAGAAAAAATTGGATGTTCTTTTTCTCACCATCTCTTCCTAATATAAATAGGAGGCAATGAAGAGCAGCAGAAATCTCTTGTTTAGGTTTCCTTCATTCATAAACACATGTCCACAAGACCTTAGTAGAAATATGAAAATTAATGCTTGCCTTCAGATAGAATTTACAGACAAATGTCCAGGACACCTCACTTTCATTCTTCAGGTTCAGACCTACTCTAAAGTAGTTACCTCAGTTTCCTTCGCAGCCTGTAGGGAGAGATGGGCATGTTTAACCAGCTATCCAATTCACATAGCCTAAAGACTCTCAGGATGCAACGTGGAGGTTTTCTCTCACTGTGAATGATGACAGCCCAAATGATTGTTTCAACTGAATGGATATTTGACTTTTAGAAAACTAACCCACAAAAATCCTACCTAAACCTCTTCCAGTTCGATTTTCCATACAAGCTGCACAGAAAGAATTATAACAAACAAACAAACAATAGCTGACACACATTTTGTCTTTTCCCAGTTATTATCAATCAATAACACAGAATACCACTAGCACTGAGAGAGTCTGAGGAGCCATCTCAGATATTCACCAATCATTGTACACGCTTGTCAATGCCAGGTACACATCTGGTCAACCTGTAGCAGAGAACAAGTCTGGAGGGACTTGAGTGAAGGCTGCCACCTCTTGGTGAACTAAATAGCACAAATTTTGGTTTATCTGCTGGTAAATGACACACCATAGGTATTGAGATAAAATTCATTCATTCAAAAGTCAGTAACAGATCCTTTAAGTCATAACAGTGAATATTTTAATGTATGTCAGTGTGACATTAAATAAAAAAGAAAAAACCTAAAGTATACAGAGTCTTCTACAGAGGCCAAGATCACTAAAAAAAACTAAAAAAACCCAGTGAGTTTCATGATTTTCAATTCAGAAATACACCTAGACTATCAAAGAGTAACACCAGTTGGGGTGGTGTCTTATATTCTAAAGAGATGATGTATCATGAATAGCATTAAAATGTCCCCTTAAATACATAGCATGTCAAATAAATACTGAAACATGTTAACACCCTTTTTTCCCCTCCAACTGAAATGTAAAATTGATTTGTAAGAAGTTGTCAATTTATTTTTATTTTCTTCTGGTGCAACGTCACAATTTGAGTACTCCAAGCTTTTTCTCTTCCTTGGCAATTGTTCTGTAATATTGCTAAAATCCCCAAAGCAGCAACAGCAGCAGTGCAAGAGTTGCTGCTATTGCTGTTGTTTTTATCACAGACCTTTATATTGAATTAAATCCAATGATGACTCTGCAAGATCTCAATAAATATCAGCCTGCATTTGAAATTACATTTGTCTTGTATTTTATAAATATTACCTTGATCTAACTTGTCCTCGTGTCTTGCATGGGACACCAATCTGACCATGACATAATCCACGTATTTTTCTTCATGTAAAACCCTGCAAGATAAATACAAGGTGTTCAAATGCCATTTAAGTTTACCTCTGTTGAATGTCTGCGTGATGAAGAATGAACATACTGACACCTCTGAGCAATACTAAGAAGAGGAAAATTAAATGAAAAGACCAATTTTAAATGGTATTTATATTTTAGTATGAAAAAAGCACACAATGCATTTATTAGGATATGAATACAATTACAAGAATGATGTTAATTTTACTGTCACTGTGTTTTATTTTTAAAAATCTGAGACATAAGTACCTTCTCCTGACTATACAAAACCCATTGCAAGAAAAATCAGAGGCCATTTTTCTCATCTGCAGTATTTAGCCTTGGTTTTGGGCATTGGGATGGGGGCATGAGGGGAAGAAAGGAAGTAATTTTGCACTTTGAACCAACATCCACTGAATTTAATGAGAGTCTCTCAAAAGAAGGTCCTCTTCTTTCTCTTGAGAGGCACCATGGTTAAGTGGACAGTAAGTTCCTAGTTAGTCTATAATTCTTGAATTCCATTTCAGGTAAAGCTAAAGGGTGCAGTCCCTGCAGAGGCTAGTGCAGCTGGGGTTTGGGGTCAAGACATAAATGGTGGGTGGATAAGTGCTCAGAAAAGTGCTTGCTCTACGCAGTACCACATTGGCTGTTCTGCTGGGATCAGCATTCTAAAAGTTCCTGAAACATTTTAAAAATATTCCATTATAGCTGTTAAAGCCAACTGTAGGAATCAAAAACTTTTGCCAGGTATCTGCAATACTGACAGATTTTTTTATAAGCCTATAAAATGTGTTTCTGAAAGTTTTATCACATTAATTGCTTTGAAAAAGGCTCACTTTGACATTGCCCACTGGCTCCAAGTTTGTAGCTCACTGTCACATTAGGCAGTATATCCCACCTCAGTGGCACCAGATATTTATATCTGGAATAAAGAAAAATATTTTAGTATCAAAGAAGTATGTAAGCCTTTAACAGGATGGATTACCAGCTCTCTCTCTGAAGAGGTGTACAGACACGTATAAATATTGTGGCTAAACTGACACTGAAGAATTACTCCCACAATAGGCATATCTCAGAGAACAGGAAATTAATGAATTTGGTCACAGTGCAAATAATTTTGCTTTCTACTACAGACCTAATTTAAGGAGCACAGTAAGTTCTGCAGCCAGATTTTCACAGATCTGCACAGTAGGATTTAGCTTAACAGTATCTAGTTTTCCAATGCCTTTTTTCTTTCTCTCATCTGAAGAGCTTTCTAAACAAAATCCTCAGCCAAAGTTTTGTTTAGAGTAGAAAAATCATGAAAGAAACTTGAGTGTCAACATGAAGAATTTTATTTTACAATAGCAGATACATTTCTAGGAGAATGAAACATTTTTGCAACATCTTAAATTCTGATTTCTGGAGTTCTAAGTATGAATTACTTCTAAAGACTGAATATCTTCCTAGCAGGCATTTTCTTATTATGTATGGGTGGCTTGGTCTGGCCTGCTACACACAGAACATACTCTATATATGTTCAAGAAACACATTTTCCTTAGCATAGGGATTATATGTTCTTCCCCATGGCTGGTTCCTGTGCATTACCTATACCTCAACTCCACATCCATATGCACCTACAGAGCATGCAGTGTTACCACATACTAGCTTTGGAGTCATCCAAGCACAAAATGAAAAATATGACACAGAGTATAAAAACTCAGTTGAGATCAAGCCAGGTTGTTTTTCACCTGGCATTTGGCCTCCTTCATATTTGTCACTTGCTCTCTGGATACTAAATAAACCTTTTCCATTCTGTTCTGTAACCTCTTGATAAGGCTGACATTCTTCTCATAAAATGCTCAAACATGTTTTCCTCCCACAGGAGAGCTACAACTACCTTGTAAGTGTCTGTTCTAAACAGATTGACATATTAGGGGCAATTTGAAAATGTGGAAACCAGGACATGCATGTAGTTTTAGTCCAATCACTGTCTTCAAAATTTTGCTCCAATGCATGGACCTGTTCCATCTGGAAACAGATGATTTGAGTTTGGGAGGAATGGGTTGCTTCTGAGGTGTCAGGAGGTTTCTGGGTGGAAATGGGGGTGATTTGGTGATTTGACAGAAGGAACTGCTTTTATCTTCAGAGGAAAATGAGTTTTCACTGTAGAGATATGAGGAATAAATGTATCATTCATATCTGAACAGGTGTTGAAAATCTTATCCCTCCAGCAATGCAGTAAAGTAGCTGTACTATTATGTCAGACTGTGCTCCCACAGCAGAGTCACATCTATGGACGGTATGTCTGAAACGTTGCTATCTCTATTTTAAAATAATCTAGCATGGAATCAGAGCAGGAGCTCCAGACGTTGTCACCAACAGTTTGTGGTGTCTAGGTGGGTGAGTCAAAGATAATCCATATGGTGGTGATAATACAATATGGAACTTAAGCTTAAATCCTAAGAAAACCTACAGTTATCTACTATAAGAATATTTTTAAAATCTGATTTTAGGTTCTTCAAGGAAACATGTTGAAATTATTGCCCACACCATATATAATTAAATCATTAGAGAATCATCCTTTTTCATAAGCTCTATTCTGAATATCTAAATAATCTGAATGCTTTTTGTTGGATGTTTCAAGGTTACTTTCTTCATAAAATTTGCATTTAATTCTGACTAGACAAAGGCATGTAAATGAACCCAAAGTCATAGTACAGTGTCTTTCCCTATATAAAATATGTAAGTTGAATAAGTCATAACAGAGCCTCCTCATGTATCAAGATAATTACATGATATACCAACACTTCTCTGGTCATCTTAGCCACTGCTCAGTTTTTAATATCAGCTTATCTTGTGCTTTGACTAGCTATGAGCTGCCTGGAGTAACAATAGCAGAGAGGATATTAATTTAGCACTGGAAACACATGCTGTAGTTTGACCCAAATACATCCTATTGTTGAGGACTGCTTGGTGAAATTTTATGGCTTCAGCTACTTAGGAATTAAATTCAGTGGAGATGTTCTGATGAATATTTGTCAGAAAATGTCAATGTGAGGAACACAAACTTTTATTAAAAATGTCTTGGACTTGACAATGTTTTGCTGAATGCTTGAGTGTTCTAGGCCTGAGTGTTCTAGGTCATGAAGCCTATAGCAGAATCAAAATCCCTCCATGGTGTGCCTGTCCCCAGCACCTTCACAGAGACAGGAGCACAGCTCTTTCAAGGTCCACACTTTCAGGATGGATCTTTTGATAAATAACCCAAGACTCTTCAGTGGAACTGGGAATCAAAACCTCTACCTCTATCCAAACCCTGCAATTGTAGACCACTCCTCAGTGAATTCAGCACCTGGACAACATGAATTAAACAAGAGTTAGAGGTTCACAGAATCACCAAAGTATAACAAGGATTTTTAATTTTGAAAAAAACCCACAAATATTAAAACAAATATTTACTTGGTTACTTTTGAAAACAAGATGGTCCAGTCCAGTCCAGTCCAGTTCTTACCTGAAAAAATGATTTCCATCATCATATACTTACAGAGGGTAAGGACCCAGCCTTCATCAGTGACCTTGCTCACTAAAAATGTATTAATACCTACATTAATACACAACCAGAGGATCTTGAAAAAGCCTACCCTTATGCCTACTTATCTGGTTCTAGAGCTGACAGCTTTAAAGACAGATGTTTCCCACTAAACAGAGAAAAAGACTCCTTTGCTCCTGAGAAATGTTGAGGAAGTTCTTGCTAGCAAATAGAATAGAAGCATCTTTAAACTTTACAGCATGGATGTGGAATGGAAACATTGATGGTTCCCTTATGATTTCATTGACCTTTCTGTCAGTAAGAGAACTCTTTAGATGGAGATAGTCTTTAGTGAATAAAAACTGATTAAACTCTTTGTAAGCCAACTGAAAGAAAAGGAAGTAGAAGGCACCTGCAGCACGTTTGTTACCCAAATAAACACATGGTAATAGAATAAGTTAAGCATATTGATGCAATGAAAATATTACTTTAATCAGATTCATGTGAGGAAGTCAAATTGCAATTACTATGATGATCCATCTGAGCAGTGACCTGTTTAAAATGTGCCTTTAAAATACTAGTTTTGGATTCGAAACCTGGTAATACCTACCTCTAACACAGACTTTCCCATCAGCTTAAGCAAGATGGTTGATACATCAATATCTCATGTGCAAAATGAGGAGAGACTTACAGAAGTCACAGGAGCTCAGGATAATATCCTTTGAGAACTGCAGAGTGCCCAGGAAACTCAATAAATCAGTTTCTGAGTTTTTTGTAAATATGGTGGGAATTTAATGAAAACTATCCTCTCAAAGTATAATATGTACCCAGTCTTACTGATAGTTCTTGCAGTTTTCATCTTTTCTATATTTAGAAAAAATGTATCAAATTCAAAGATATTAAAATGGTAGGAAAAACCTCAGGATTAGAAAATAAATATAATGGAAGTAGCAATCAAAACAGATCACTTATGATTTCTACTTTTTCCCCAGTCTCACTGAGAACCTCTGAAGACTTACTATGTGCTATTTGATGAATAAAAATGAAGCCTCTCTTCTGTAATTTAGTTCTGCTAGGAATAGCATTAGAACTGCTGTAACAGTTTAAATACACAAACTATGTGCATAAAGAAATATTTCTCAAAAGAAATAGCTGTATTTCACCTCCCCTAGAAGAACATGAGTTTTACTTCAGCAAACTCAATCCAACCTAAAAAAATCTTCAATTCACTCTCCATCAAGACTATATGTGCCCCCTCTTTAACACCTGGATGTTCCCAGGTTATGTTCTCAGGCTCCCCTCCTTCTTTCATCCTTCAAAGTGCTTTTTTTGCCTCACATCCTCTCTGAGACCCTTGCCTTGCAAACTGCTCTGGTACCTTCCTGCAACTGCCTTTTGCTGCAATATTTTTAAGCAGGGAAAGGAAAATTATCTCAACCTTACCAGATGGGAAATAGTGGTGGGATCAGGACATGGCCTCTCTGCAGTTTCCTACACTGACTGTCACTGTGGGAAGGTGGCTGCTACATCCTGAGTTTCTGAAGGCAAATACCTCCAGGAAACACTATTATAGATCTTTCACATTTAAATAAGCAGCAGAATATATCACTGACTTTCATTCATGACATAACATAACATAAGGACTGTCTGTAAATAAGCTAAATGTTTCTGAGTCTGGACTGTGGAGCTCTTCCTACTCCTGTGCATTCAACCATCTTTCTCCTGCCACAGCCTCTTTTCTCCTCCATGACCTTGTCTAGCTTGACTTTGCTTGCTACTTTACTTCTACTTTTTCTCTCTTTTTGTGTCTTGACTTCTCACTAACATCCAAGGAATTGGTATTATGCTCTAGAATAAAATCTTTAACCCCAGTTTCTCTCTTCTGCCTTTGTTCCTACTATTATCAATGAGTGTGATTCCTCTGCAGAAAGAATAAAACATATATTTGTGATTCCCCTTTATTTAAAACTCCTTTAAAAGGGCAGTGAGCTCTACTACCCTCCTTTATGCTGTTTTGGCATTTTTATGGAATACTTCAAGCAGACATACAACTTTGGTTGGGAAGAGCCATTAATACTATACAAAATCACAGACTTTCCATTTGATGAGCACTTTGTGAACTTGTGTAAATATCTGAGTACCTGTACAGAAAAAACTTGTGCAACGAAAATATCTTCTTCACCAGAATATTAAATGCAAGCTTGTGATTGGCAGAGCTTCTTGTATTTTTATAGATATTTTTTAAAAATCTTTCACGAGATCCTGGATGAAAAAGTGTTTAAAAATTAACACTTTAAAGAATCACAGAACAGATTAGGTTGGAAGGGGTCACTGGAAGTTATCTGGTGCAACCTCCCTGCTCAACCAGGGTCATCCTAGACTACATTACTCAGGACTGTGGGAAAATGGGTTTTGAATGTCTCCAGAGAAGGAGACTCCACAACCTCTCTGGGCAACCTGTGCCAGTGCTCAGTCACCTGAACTTTAAAGTTTAAAGTTCTTCCTTATATTCAGGTGAAACTGAATATAAGTTTGTGCCCACTGCCTCTTGTCCTACTGCTTGGCACCTCTGAGCCAGGTTCCATCCTCTTGGCACCCTCCCCTCAGATATTTATACACATTGATAAGATCCCATCTCAGTCATCTCAACGTTAAACACAGCCAGCTGCCTCAGCCTTTCCTCACAAGAGAGATGCTCCTGTTCCTTAATCATCTTCGTAGCCCTTCACTACCTCTTCGACTCACTCCAGGAGATCCATGTCCCTCTCGTACTGAGACCAGAACTGGATTACAGCACTCCTCATAAGAACTCACCAGGGCTGAGTAGAGGCACCAGAACCTCATCAAGAGGGAGGAGAGTAGCAGACACAAACTCTTTAAGGAAACCTGCCACAGTCAATGACCTCATATTTACTCTGCAGAATGGTTCTCTGTATACCTGCTACCACAGCTTTTTCCCAGAAAGACAGAAAGCTGACAGAAAGCTCAGCTGCCACCGAGGGAAAGGCAGCAATACACCCCCTTTCATGGCACAGGGCACCATTGCTGCTGCTGCAATCACCTCACAGGCCTGCAGAGCTTTGTCCAAGATGTGATGCTATCTAGAGCTGGATGTAACTGCTGCTTCCACCCTCTCATTTTACATCACAAGTTAAATGAACACATTTAACAGTTCCTCTAGAAAACTTTTCAATAGGAGATAGGCCAGCCTGTGATATGACATTTGCTAAATTATGACTAGAAATCAAAGGAAACTAAACTATGCAAAGTGTCAGATAAGACAGTAATCCACAGTTTGTTAAAAAAATGTTGGAAAGGATTCTCATCCTCCCCATAAGAATATGAAACAATATTCTCCACTTAAGCCCATGACACAGAGTCCCAGAATGCACAATTCTCAAAGCAAACAAAAGCTTGGTCTTTTTATTTGCTTTAATTGTTATTTTTTTCATTTATTTTTTGTTTATTTTAGAAAATTTTGAGTTTTGTCATCCAGTTTGTTCAAACTACTGAAGCTAGTTTTCTGGTCAACATTTGCTACTTTGTTTTGCACAGTCTTAAAAATTACCAGCCTTCTTTGCAAGTCCACAGGGTCCCCTGTGACCACCAGGATGTCTCGGAGGGGAGTTACTCTGTGAAGGCAAGTGTCCAGCGTGATATCATTCATTCTGCTGCAGGGTGTTTGTTTGGAACGCTGCCCAGTTACTTCTGACAAGCTGTTTTGTTGCAAGCCCAATAATGTATTGTGACACAATTAGAAATGAGGGGATTTTGCACCGATTTCTATTAATTTAAAAAGACTGAGCCCAGTTGCTTCTTTTGTCCCTAAAAGAAGTTCATCATGAAGTCTACAGATTGTGCTGCTCAAACAGTAGATTTTTCCCTTCGTTTGCGCAAATAGACAGGCAATGAAGAATTTTTTATCCAGGAGAACTAATGGCT